GATAGTACCCTAGGTGTAGCGGCTGGACCATCCTGGTCTTTACGATCTCGTTTTCTTTGTAATTGCGCTGCCTTTTTCTTCTTTCTATCCGCCCTTCTTTTGTTATTGGCTTACTTATTGTCCGGTTGCGGCGCTACCCGTTATTGACTACTTGGGCGCCAATGTAGGATATACCATCTCTCCTGGGCTCTTAACGCCGGGGTCGATAGACGAACGGTAACATGGGCTACTGGATTAGAATCCTAAGTACTGGTGGTCGGGTGGAGACCATTGCTGATGTCCGTCGAGTAAGTAGATAGTATTAGATGGACGTTGGCAACTTATAGAACTAAGGCTTAATCGAGGTCGATGTCTCCGATAGTAACTCTGTGTCTAGAGTTCTAGTTAATCCATCGCTGAAATTCTGGCCCATATTAAATTCTAAAATTTTGGTTATACTCTGGGTCGTAGACGACGGTAATAGGCATTTTTGCACTTGGCCGACTTGGGATTTTGCGAAGAAGGATAAAAATAATATTAGAATAGTTCTCTATACTTTGGAAGTCGGTGTTGTTAACGAGCTAGAAATTAAAGATGAAGACTAAGCGACCTATTATACGTAGGGCCTCGTTAGTAGATGAGACTAGCTATGCTAAGAACTCTTCTATATTAGGAAACCGCGCGGGTAAGCTTATGTTAGATAATTACTATTATTCTTGCTAGGGAATTCGAGTTGAAAGCATGTTCCTTAATGCTGCTGGTTTTACCTAGCGTTTAGAATCGAGTAGTTCTATGTCTACGAATGGATGTGGAAGCGCTCTAAGGTTTGGGAGGATGCTCGTGCTGACCTATTATTGTAGGGCTTTTGGGAGTAACTGGTGTCAACGACTCGACGTATATATCTGTATCGCTACATCCAGCCGAGATTGCACCGCCCATGGCGCTTGTGACACGCAACTAAGAGGCTGCATTTAAAGCGGATTAATAACTAGGTTAGCGTGCGGGATGAATTATGGAAGGTTTGCGGATCGTTCCCTATAACTTTCCCATTAACCTCCTAGTGTTCTAGCCTCCTTTAACACGTTCACATTTCGTGGACAATCCCGTTATGGAAGACTTATCTATCTATTGTGATTCGAACCTCCTTTACAACTAGGAGGATATGTCGAAGTATTGTCCTGGTGGATTTCATCCGGTCTACCTCGGTGATACTTTTAAGGAAGGGCGCTACAAGATATACCATAAGCTAGGTTGGGGTGGCTATTCCATCGTCTGGCTTGCGAAAGATAAAAAGTATATCACTATGAAATATAATTTGTATTGTGTACCTTACTGATAGACCAACGGCGTGAGTAGTAGGTTTTAATTAAAATTAAAATAGCTAGTAGCTCGATGCAAACCCGAGAACTTTAAAACTTGGAATTATTAGCGGGCTATTCCCAAGGAGATCTTAGCTCCGAATACATCGTCTAGTTACTCGACTACTTCTCCTACTAGGGACCTAATGGATTTCATTAGTGCCTGGTGTTTGAGTTACTTGGCCCTCCTATTGATGTAGTGGTGGGAGATATTCATTAGGGTGGAGATGTTCTCGAGCCGGAAACTATTCTAAGAATGTCGAAATAGCTACTGTAGGCCATCACCTTTATGCATAAGGTTGGCTATACATATGGAGGTATATTGAGATCTAAATAATCACTGAACCTTATACTCTTAGTTAAAGCGCTTCATTCTTCGTGTCTATAACTGACTTATATAGATTTAAGTGGCAGGAATGTCGCCTTTACTTCGAATAGATTGTCGTAGTTGATAGAAGAGGAGCTCTTCGAAGTCCTTGGACCCCCGGAGACGGAGGAATTGGCTCGACGGGATGGTAAGCCATTAGAAAAAGGCCTACCTAGTTAGCTGATAAAAGTAACGGGCTAGGATAATTGGATAGATGAAGACGACGAAGATATTCGGATCTTTAACTTGGAGGAGGCTTTCTTGAAAGGAGTAGAGCCTAAAAAGCTCCCCTAACCTTTATACTTGAAAGCGCTAGAAACGATTTTTATGGACAGCTGTAACAGTAGACATGATTTATGGCGTGCGGGCATTATGGTGAGAACGCCCGGCTTGGAGACGTTAGAGAAATGTACTGACTTAACTGTGGGTAGATATATACGTTCCTGTTTGGATTAGTTCCATTTCAATATTGGTACGATGACGTCCTAGTTGCACAAATAATTTATTTTGTGGAGGTTTTGCTAATGGAATGGCGGCAAAAGTGGGACGAAATGCGACTGAAGTCCGGACGGGATTACTTGCTATGTAAGTTAAACTTTAAGGCATTGCTAGCATTTTTAATTGCGCTTAGAAGAATCTAATAGGCGAATTCTTTAGTGGACGAGAAACCTCTCCGCTCTAAACTAGAGTAAAAATTTGATGACCGGATCTACGAATCCCTGAAGCTTCTCCTCCTAGTTATCTAGGTCTGATGAAGTTTATACCGTCGAATCGAATCTTAGCATCCTAGGCGCTTAATATAATTAGCTTTATAACTAGCTAAGCGTATAATATTGGAAAACTAGGAAAACCCCGTCTAAAATCCATGATGTTTCTAAGCCTACGATCCTAGTGGAGAGTAACTTCGACAATATAGAGGGAACAACTATCGCTAGCTTGTCCGTACAAAATAGATGGTTACTCTATTTTCCTCACGGGAAAGACGTGCTAGCTATGGTCTAAGAGTTAAGCCTATATGTAGACTACGTGACTAAGGCCTAAATAAGGATTACGGCCAGGAACCTAGAGCTTCTTTAGACCATAGAATTAATATCCTAAAAGTAATAAAGGTAAATGTAAAGGGCGTAGGTAAGGCTAGTAGAGGTAACTGATGGTTGGTAGTAGTTACGGGATAAAAATGTTATAATTATTGGCGGAGTCTAGGAAGCTACTAATATATTTTTAGCTGCAGTGGTAAGGTGATTATATACATAAAGCTACTGACTATTTCTTTTAATTCTCTACTCTATCTATGAAGCTTTTCTCCCTATATTGATACTGGGGATAATTAGCGGATGCTATTCGGTTATTTAGAGCTATAAAATAGAAGCTTACACATTTAACGCCTCCGTTTAGATCTCCTTTACAGCTATAGCACTATAGGTGCTTGTAAGAGGAGTAGGGATCCGACGGGATTAATTTGAAAAGCTTTATCTGATCCGTCGTCCACGGATCTCGAGGGTAAATCGGACATTTCTTGTGGCCCGTGCGAGGGCTTAAATTACTACAATGGCACTAATGCTGATTGTCAGCTCATTACCCCACCTATCGAGATGTAGGTTTACTTATACATTACTAGAGCGGGATAGCTATATAATCGTGATACCTAGTATTGTATTGCGTATATCGAAGGTAGTTACAGGCTCGACAATTACTACTTGCGATAATGATAACGCTCCCGCACTAATACTTGAATGTAATAGCTCTACTAGGTAATAAGGAGTGCGAATCTAACGGCTCCATTTCTCGAATGCCTTCGGTGCCTTTCGATGTTATTTGAGAGTGACGACTTCTTATTCGAATGCTTTTGGTGACTTTTAGCGCCTTTCTATTAGGATGATACCCTAAGGGAGATAGACAATAACGGATAGCTTAAGGATGAGTATATAGCTTAGCTATATATAAAATGGTAACTAGAGGAACTCCTAGACCGTAGTCTACGACATCGACTTAACGCTTAGAGAACGTAGGTTACTAGTAAGCGGTGAAATTGCTCTTTTTAAACTCTCGAGGTTAGTGGCTTAGTAAAATCACGTGAGATTTTATATATCTCGATGGCTAATAGGAGCCCGTTATAGCTAACTAATTAAAGGCCGGCTTTATAGAGTAGTAGGGGGCTAAACTTAATTAAAAGAGTTATATTGTAGAATTATCTAGTCTAATACTATCTATAAGGGATGAAAGGAAAGGAACGTAACGAAACTAGAGAAGTACCTATAACTAAAAAAGTCGAAATACGCTTCCTACGCCCCCTTACACATACTACATTATTCTTACCCCTTTTTTCCTTCCTATTTCTACTTGAGAAGAGGATTTAAATTTAAGGATACTTAGCCCGTATATAACTATATAATATAGCCGAATTTACTCCGGTATAATATATATTACGTTATGAAACGAACGTAACTAGAGGCTAGTTAATTCCCTTTATATTCGTTAATTTAGCCGGAATACCTAGTGTCTTTTAGCATTAGTCCCGATCTACTTAGGTAGCGGCCCGGGGTGTGTACTTAACCGTTGAGATAGTAGATAGCTTAGTTTTTAGTAAAGTTAAGTCTATAAGGGTTACTTCGATGGGGGTCGAACTTAATATACTCGGATGGATCCGACAACGCGTTATAGATAGCTTCGGGGAGGTAAAGAAGGCGTGAAAGGAGCGCGGAGATAGCGAGCCGGAAATCTTCCGGCTTATTAATATTAGGTGCTGTGCGAGCGCGAGCGGCTTCTAACTCTTCTCTATCGAAGGCGTTAAACTTAAAGGGGAGATTCTTTTCATCGTCGTCCCTTTCGATTAATGCTAGACAATCGTTACCATCGGCTTCCCTGTCTGCGTCACGATTAATGGCTAGTACGTAGTCGATAAGCTTATTAATATTAGTAAGTATAGCTTCCGGCTTAGCTATATACTTAATAAGGAAGTTATAGATGTCGGCGGTTATGTACCGGTGTAACGGCACCGCGTTCTTAAACTTTAGGGCTATATCGTGGACCTCGTCCTTAGAGTAGACCTTAGTGTCCGCCTACCAGCAATATAGTATAAATATATCGTAGATCTAGTGCTTGCTCGCGTACGTGAATTTAATCTATTTATTGATGCGGCCCGGGCGGATGAGGCGCCTATCGAGCTTAGACCGTCTATTAGTCGTTATAATAGTAATGCCGTCCCGTTTAGCGCGCTTATCTAGGGCGGTAAAGACGTTCTCCACCGTAACTTAGGTCTACGCTCTCGCCTCCGAAGTAGGCGCCGCGGTTATAATCTAATCGATCTCTTCGAGTAGCAAGATGGAATTCGGCGAGATTACCTCGAGTAAATTCTGTAGCGTACCCGGCCGTAGGTCGGGCTCGGTGAGGGAGAGATAGTAGATGCGTATACGGTAGTGCGCCGCTAGCGTATAGGTACGAGACAACTTATCCGTCCCTATACGGTCGTATAGGAGTAGACTAAAATAGTAGGGCGACTTAATTGTATCGTACTTACTCTACGTGTTAGGTTAGTAAAATTTATCTAACTTACTAATTAGGTTAACTTTTACCGTCTTGTTAAGGATAACCGACTTAAGGTTTCGCGACACTTCTTCGTGCGGCTCGCCCTATAAGGCCTAAGAGCTATAATACTAGAATAAGGCCTAAATAACTATAGTGTTAATAGAGCTCTAGGTAAGCTATTTTTAGTTAATATCGTTTAGTAGAAGCCCGAACTTTAGTTCGTCTTGTAAATAGTATAAGAAGGTAATCGTTTCGATAGACTCCTCGTTCCTTTTTAGGGCTGTATACTCGGCGACGTAAATAACGCCCCTCTCCGTAAACGTATAGATACCCTTATCGAGGACGAAGTCGTAGTTAATTTCGCTTCTTAACCCCGAGTACTTAGTCTTAAGTACTACGTCCGACTCGTCTTTAAGGTCTATATACTTAGAGATCTAGTGGAGAGCCGGATAGAATAGTTTATTACCCTTAGTGACCTTAACCGACCTTATCGACTCGCCGCGTAATAGCGCGTAGTTAGCGCCCTTAATATACTTATTATATCGATTAATTAGACCCTCGGCTGCTAAAGGAAGGTAGTACGCTAGCTAGAGAAACTAGTACACGGACCTCTAGCGGGGTGGAAGAGTAAGGACGACGTAGGGCGAAAACGCGCCCTATACGATATAGCTATTAATACGTAACAAATCCTCTTCCGTTATGAACTAAAGGTCCTTCATAAGGAGGACATCTATTACGGACCGATGCGCAGTCTTAGACATAGTATTCAGCTAGTTACTAAAGGTATAGAATAAACTTCGGAGGATTCCCGTAACTATATAGCGTGTATAGTAATATTAGTTACCAACTAGTTAAATAGGGAGGCTATTAAGGGTTAAGAGTATAGAGATAAGTAACTTAACTAATAAGATTATTCGATTAAGGTAACGTAAAAAATAGCCTAAAGTAGTGAAGAAGCCCCTTCGATATCCTACTACTCTAGCGAAGTCGAGGAAGAGACTATACGGGGGTCTCTAGACGGCGAAAGTTATAGACGGGGGGAAAGGAACGGCTAAATTATACCTATAGTATATTATATATAACTATAAAGTACCTAGAATAATACTATTAGCTTACTTCGCTAATCTACTTCGCTACCTAGACTTTAGCTAGGTTCTTATCCGAAACTAGTGTAGTATATTATTCTATATAGGTACCTTATATATTGACTCCTTTTAATTAACTCTACGTACGTCTATTAGGTACTTCTCTACTTATTAGGCGTAAAAGTTACGGTGTAGTAGACCTTCGACTTATTGGTGATAGGGATTGCCTCCCTCTAGCGGCTTTATCGCCTTTTTGCCTAGGATTAGTAATAGAGGGCTACCGATTCTTTATAGCGCCGACTAATCCTTACGTAAAGTTCTATAGCTACTATTCAGCTTCCACCTAAGGATTAAGGGTTATCTTATCGGCGCGAAAGTAGAAATTAGATGTTAGTAGGTTAGAATTAACGCGGTAGCTTAAAGCTCGAACGCGTTATCCATAATACTTCTAGGACGACTATATATAGTTTAAATGATTATAATCGCCTAAAGGCTGCTATTAAACTATTTATCTCCCTACGAAGGAAGGAACGTCTTACACGCTGATTCGTTCGAAATAAGCTTCTAATTTACAACGGTCGGCCTAAACTTAGGCTTTAATGTCGTAGATTTCGAAGATAACGTTTAGAGGGACCTATTTACACGGCATTTTATACTAATAGGCTATATTTCCGTTCGGGTATAGATATCTAGCACGTTCGAGCCACCGAAAAGTGCCTAATATTTAGGTTTAGCGCCCCGATAAGCATTAAGACGAAAGCTAACAGGGTATGAAAAGCCTAGCATTATGTTATACCTCGATATTGATAAAGCGATCCCAACTCACAACTCTCTAACGCGGGACTAACTAAGCATTTCTCTACCTGAAAGTCTACGTAGTTCCGGGTAGATTTAGTGACAGTGCGTTCTTGGTGCAGGTAGAACCTTTCGAAAGCATATATAGGTCGTTACCCGAAGACCACCATGCTCTAGCCTCCTCACCGGTTAGGGGTTCCAATCGTTAAAGCGCAATCTAAAATCCTTACAGCGCGACGTCTTAACTCTTTCTCAACTATAATATTTACCTTATTCGGTAATTAGCCTTATAATACTCTCTCTATAAACGCTGATCTTTCTCCTTCTCTTCGTCTATATATACTTATCTTACGAAATTCATGATCTTACATTATAGCCGTAGACACTGATACTTCGGTTAAGCTAGCTAATTTTGTCCGAATTACAATTAAGTATCAAGGTTTATCGACGTAAAATTTAGGTTTAGAAATAGATGGTCATAATCAATATAGAAATCCAAAACGTCGTCTAGTTACTATCCATTAAGCTTTAAAGGAAACTACGTCTACTTTAACCGGCCATTAGTGCGAGAGTCCCGCCATTAAGATTAATTCGTCTTAATAAAGGAAGAAACGCCGTGTACGAAATGAAGGAAGACTTATCGTGCAGGAAAGAGAACCTATGTATATTGTAATCTTATGGTTAATAAGACGAAACAAGAATCTAATTAAGGGGCTAAATAAGGTCTTAGGAAAAAGAAAGGGCTAAGATGGAGATATATACCTTTAAACATTCTAGGACAAGAAAAACAAGTCCGACTTATAAGCCTATATCCTAGAAGGTTACGCTATCTTTTACCTATAGATTATATGCCTAGAGTGTAGGTGAGTAAAGGTAGGAATCTAGGAGAATTAACTTATAGAGTGGACATTATATAAACATCTCGCCTCCGAATATCCTTACGGACTTCCATAAGAAATACTTAAACTTACTCTAGGTCCCATCCTAGTCCTTTATAGAACGATTTACGGATCTACCTATCTAGCCTAGTAGAAAATTCTAAATGCCGAAAATAACCGATTAATTTCTATAGGAGTATATTAGTAATATATCCTCGTCTAGATAAATCCCTACCTATTTTTTATCCTTTAGCTATATCCCTAGGGGAACTAGATAGCGGCGATACATAATATTCTAAAACCCGTACTAGTGTAGGAGTTCTTCGATATAGTCTCCTATATCTAGCTTTCGTCCTAAGTTAGATAAAGCCTCGGATTAAAGGTTATATAGTTTAAGAACCTTATTCCCCTCTTTTATGGAGTTATCTTAGCTAAAATACTTTAAGTCTAGTTCTTAAAACTCTACCTATCCTTTATCCTCTAGATTCCTACTAGAAAGTTAGCATCGTCCGTTAATCTCAACAACCTAGACTTATGCCTTACTCGTGATACCGGCGAATTAGTTAAGACTAATTAATAATCGAACTAGCTAATTAGCGTTCGAAAATAAATCTATAGTCTTGACTCCATTCCCATTAAGCTTCCACATTAAAAATCTCGAATGTAACGTTCGTAGGAACCTATATAGGTTAGATTATGCTAATATTAACGCCGATAACTACGTATATTAGATCTATATCTCTAATCTTTATAGCCTAGTTCCTAGTTCCCGTCCTAATATCCAGTACTCGTGCACCGGATAGCAAGACCGGAGTATAGTATAAGTCTAGGTTAAGCACCTCTCTAATCTCATGGTCGAAAAGCTCTAAATGCTCCTACTCTTACTCATTATTTAGGAATAAGGACTCTAGCCGGGTTAGTCTTTTGAAAACGCCTATCGTACGGGGGGAGATGTACCGTTCTTACTATATATAGTATAGCGACGGCCGTATTCCTTAGAGTACCGGAGTACTTCCGACGTTACTATTGTTGTACTGAGTTCATCGCTATTACGCCTAATGGCTTTATTAGATTGTTTTTGTCCTACTGGGTTAGGAACTCGAACCGGGGGCTCGCGTATACGGAATTAACACTAGGTGACTACTTAAATTAGTGATGGGTTTAGACTACCAGCGCTCTTACTCCTTACTTAGATCGTCTAACTAAGGTCGTTGGCCTTAGGAGTTATCGTTATTGTTTAGTAACCTAGGAAAATACTTTCCGTATGCGTTGGGATGAAAGCGCGAGCTAGAACCTCAAAGGTAGGTAAGGGTCTAGCTTTATTTACTACCTTAGGCCGACGTATTATATGCACCTAGGTAAAAACGCCGTACGATCGATCAAAAGTAGGTTTTAATGTATATAGATACGAATCATCCGAGACACATTTATAGCCTATTACATTAAGCTAATCCTACGTAAATATATATAGAAAGCCCTACTACTTCGGTACGGAGTACGCTTTTATGATAAAATGATATCCGTAGGCTAAGGTGTTAGTCCGCCGAGATGCGTTAGGTCTAGTCTTTCCCTACTATTTATCTACCCGCTCTTAACTCTTTCGACCTTCTTACGTATTAAATGTATATATTGTATACTCTTATTTAGCCTTAAAATTATGAATATATACTTTAATAAGACTACTTATAGATATAGGGTTTCCTACTCTATAAATTATCTATAAGTTCTTAAGTTTATAGCCGGCGAATACCCGTATTATATACTCTATACTTACGATAACTATCCTTTTTACGAATATTCTAAAGATAACCGATCTATATGTCACTATATTGCAATGGAGTTGCTAAAAATGTACTACGAAAACCCGGGCGATATATTAATGTCGTAGATGCGGCTATAACTTATGTTCTAGTTGCCATTACTATAGCCTATAGAAATAGAGGATCGATGCACTAAATTAGTCGAACTACGACACTAGATAGTCCTAGTAAAATTTAAAGAGGGACCTTAATGGCCTTATTCGAAGACTTTTAGTAATCTTAAAGTAAGGGGTGGCTGAACTCTTCGGGATAGAGTCTTATAGTGTCTAATTAGAATTAAATTAGAATCGTAATAGTATCGAAGTTGTAAAATCTTTAAATTAGTACTTATTACGGATTATATAAGGCTTAGACTACTCTAGACTCTCTAAAATAGGTTATAAGATCGTAT